GTGTGTGTGTGTGTGTGTGTGTGTGTGTGTGTGTGTGTGTGTGTGTGTGCATGTATAGTTGTAAGATTTTTAAAGTTTGGTCTATTTTAGTCCAAAATTCTGTTGATTTAAACATCCAGATTACTTTATTTAGAGTTTGTTTAAAGACACCTAAACACAAATAAGTAAAATGCTGAAACTGTTAATTTATTCAACTTATTATTTTTATTTTCATTTAAAGTCATTGAGGTTAAGAATGGACTTTCTCCAAGGGTCTCTTCTGTTGCCCAGGTTGTGTTTTGGCCCATTTGTTCAACATTTTCCCAGGCTGTTATTGACACTGGTACCTCCCTGACTGTTGGCCCAACCTGTAATATTATAACAACATGAACGCCTGGATTGGAGTCTCATCCAACCGATGGGGAGATGCCATGCCAACACACCTCCACCCTTTGCCAAAGACTTTCCAACTTTTTCGTAACCCACAGTGAGCAGATGGTGGACCCTCTGACGTCAAAACTTTCTAATAAAAATAATGAAGCAAGACTTGGCTTTTTTCAGAAGCTGGAAACCTGTAAAACACCAACAAACACATTTTCTGCTTCATCATGGTCTTTTGCTTTGCTCTTTTCATTGACTACAGTGACCTACCAGAATGTCTGGGACAAGCCAGAGGTCAGTTTTATTCTGAAAAGAAAAATCTACAATATATTTACATTTTCTGCTGCAACACATTAAACCAGAAAGAATACAGTATTTGACAAGACCATCAGCTCTGTGGTCAAGTCTAAATCTGCTTGTCTGAACAAACCTCTGTGACTAAATTCATCAAAACACAGAATCTGTAGAGTTTTCTTAGTTTTATTCATCCAGAGAAAAGCAGCTGCTCCTCTGCATCAAAAGGAGTCAGCTGAGGTAGTTTGAGTATTTGATTAGGATTCTTCCCTTTGAAGGGTTTCAGGGAATGTCCCAGACCCCGAGGAATACCCAAAGCTCACTGGAGGAAAGATATATCCTCTCCTGGAACTTCACCCCAGACGTACAGCTGGAGAATGTGGCCGAGTTTCTCTCCTGAACCTGTTGCCTCTGCAGCAACAGATAAGGTGGGAGATGGAGATCAGTTTTTTTGTGCATGTGTCAGTTTGGCTTTGGTGGATAACAACTCATGTTACTCACTGCTTTCTTTAAAAATCTGCTAAAATGTCAAAGAACTCAGTTGAGTCTGTTCCCTTTGTACGTTTTCAGAAGAAATGACCTTCTGCAAAGGATTTCTAAAGCAAGCTCTCCAGCTTTTTCAGTGCTGAGTGACGCAGGCCAAAAGCACAAATATTGAACGAACGGCTCACATAATAGCACTCGGGTAAGTTGGCAGTGATGCATCCTGAAAGGAGCTGATAACGCTGATACAACATGAAATAACATGATGGCATGAGCTGATAAGTCTGCTGGTGGATGAGAAAATGACTGAAACATCTCAGAGAGAACACAAAATAATTGCATTCGTCATGATGAAGTTCAACATTTTTATTTTGTGCAGGGGAATGTAAATGAAACATTGAAACAAATAAGGGCTTTATGTAGTAATTAAAATTTAGAGGTAAATAAAATGATAGTTTGAGCAGATTAGGATTAAATAATTGAAACTTTGGGCATGAGCTGCATTTCCTACAAAACTACCAATATCATCTTCATGCAGGGTTTTTCTCATCATGATAAATATTTTCCAAGGTTCTCACAGTAAAATAGAAAAACACAAAGAAAGCAAACACAACATTAAAAATATTTAATCTGAAATCACATTCAGACTGCCAGTGTGGAGTACTCCACCATCCCAGTGTGCTCTGTGACAGGAGGTTCTTTCTGCACCCTCAGGTTTGCATACACCCCCTCAGGTTTCTGGTGAGGCCTGAAGTCCACAGTTGTGTAGACGATGGCACTCATGTCCTAAAAGAGACAAAGTCTGAAAACTCCTTGTTTTGTAGAGGAAGTCTGAAAGAAAAGAGAAAAAAAAGCACAACCTGACTGTGAGTCAGGGACTGGTTCCCTGTTCTGCACCTACCGGAGCTTCGTGTTTTAGTGACTCACACTCAGTTTCTCCAAATCTGTCTGCAAAACAAGAATAACCAAACATCACATTAAAGGACCAGTTTGTTATTATCAGGAGAAAAAAATCAGCTTCTGGAAACTTCATATACCTGACTTTCTACGTCTGATTTTGACTTTGTAGCCGACAACAGCGATCACTGCAGTGACAAAAATCATCACTACAATAGACAACACAACAATGAGGGGCAGCCCAAAACTCCAGGGTGCTCTGGAAGGGAGACAGTTTTAGAAATCTTCTCATGACTGAAAGAGCAAATGAAAGCACCAGTGACGATGAAGACCTGATGTTGTCACTGTAATCCTGTGAAACTACAACAGCAGAGAGGTCTGGGATCCTTGTGGAGCTTTTGGGAGTTTTGATTGTTGCCGTTTGTGCCGGCTGAGTCCGGCTGTGATCTGAAACTTCTGCACACAAGATTAGACTTCTGAGTTTGTATCCACAATACAAGTAAAAAACAAAACATAACATCCAGGTTATGAATACTCACCAAAAACCTCAACAAAGTAATCGCTGTAAATCTGGTTTTGGGCTCCCAGAATGCCACATCTGTAAAAGCCTGAGTTTGCCATGTGCACATGGGATATCTGAAACTCAATCCATCCATTTCCCTCTCTTTTCATCACTCTTCCTTTCAGCTCATCGCAAGTATAGCCTGCACTGTCCAGCAGCTTGTAGCATCCTCCAGGATAGAGCTTACAGCAAAACTTGTTGTAGTTGTTGTAAAATGAAGGAAAATAGAACTTGAGCAAAATGTGCTGAAGCTCCTCGACCCTCTGCTGGCCTTTGAGGAGAGAAATGTCTGCAAAAAAAAAAAAAAGGATCTTTCAGTTAGATATTTTATTTTTTCTATTTCTGACTTGTTTTAAGGCATACCTAATAAAAAGTAGAGACACACAAAGAGAATATTCATCTTCGAGTTTGGTCCTCCCCGAGTCGCAGCACGTGTGAAGTTTTTATTCTTGTCAGAGGTTCTGAGGCGTCTCCTCAGAGGAAAGAAAAGGAAGTTGTTTATCAGCTGCACACACAAAGAGTGGTCATCATGTGACCACTAGTCCGAGACAACTTTCAACACGTTTTTTAATATATATTTTAATTCCTTAATTAAATACCAGGAAAACAGACTTTTATACACAAAGCAATTTATTTGGTGTTAGCTTTCAACTTTTGATAATATTGTACTCGATAACTCAAAACTTTTCTTTATTACAACAAAAAATATCTGCAAAATGTATGTACATTTATATTTCATGAGCAGGTTGTAATATTCAAGCAATAAACATAACTTAATACCGAGAAAAAACAACAACACTCCCTTTCCATTTAAACTCATTCAAAACCTTAAGTACTGATCACTTTTTAAAACCACGGTTTTAACGCGGCCTTTTCTATGAGAACATTGTCTTGCAAGTCAAAGCATTTCAGGCACGTAAATGACAAAAACAAGCAAATCTTCCTCAGATTATGTCAGAAACGTACAGTCCCTATGAAGAAGATAGAAGCAACAGGTGCAACAAAGTAGATCTTTTTTTAAACAAGCTGATGTTTTGTAGCTGCCTCGGACAGATAATGCAGTGGAGAAGATAAGGCTGTTTTTTTTTTTACAGGTGCATAAATAAGATGAGGTCTCTGTCATTTCCGTTTGTCCCTTTGGCTTTGTTTGCACCTCTACTCGTTGGTGAAAGTGATGACGTCGTAGTGGATGCCCTGCTGCTGCAGCTGCTCCAGCTGCTCCGGTGTAGCTTCAGTGTAAAACGTTTGGGTTTCTTCCATGGCTGCTTCTGCTACAGCTGCAGGGACACATTGTAGACTGTCAGTGTAATCCGTTATCTGTATAATGAAGTTATTGTTGCTCCTCCCATTGATCTTTTTAATCTTCATGTTATTATCAAGCTTTAACAAGTTCATTAAAAACAATTCCCTGAAGCTGAAACAGGAAGACAATATACAGCGGGTAAAATAAGTATTGAACACGTCAACATTTTTCTCAGTAAATATATTACTAGAGGTGCTAATGACATGAAATTTTCACCAGATRTYGGTAACAACYCAAGTGATCCATACATACAMAGAAATCAAACCATAAATGTCCAGAAATGAAGTTATTTGTAATAATGTGGAATGGCACAGGGAAAAAGTATTGAACACACTTACTGAAATTTATCTAATACTTTGAACAAAAGCCTTTGTTGTCAATGACAGCTTCAAGACGCCTCCTGTATGGAGAAACTAGTGGCATGCATTGCTCAGGTGTGATTTTGGCCCATTCTTCCACACAAACAGTCTTCAAATCTTGAAGGTTTCCTGGGTCTCTTCTATGAACTCTGATCTTTAGTTCTTTCCATAGATTTTCTGTTGGATTCAGGTCAGGTGATTGGCTGGGCCATTCCAGCAGCTTTAGTTTCTTTCTCTGAAACCAACTGAGAGTTTCCTTGGCTTTGTGTTTGGGCTCATTGTCTTGCTGAAATGTCCAGCCACGTTTCATCTTCATCATCCTGGTAAATGGAAGCAGATTTTTATCAAGAATGTCTCTGTACATTTTTCCATTCATCCTTCCTTCAATTATTTGAAGTTTGCCAGTACCATATGCTGAAAAACAGCCCCACACCATGATGTTCCCACCTCCAAACTTCACTGTTGGTATGGTGTTTTTGGGCTGACGTGCAGTGCCATTTGACCTCCAAACATGATGTGTATTCTGGCATCCAAACAGTTCAATGTTGGTCTCATCTGACCAGACTATATTCTCCCAGTATTTCACAGGCTTGTTTAAATGTTGTGCAGCAAACTTTAAAGGAGCTTCAACATGCTGTTTCTTCAGCAGTGGAGTCTTGCGTGGTGAGCGTGCATACAGGCCATGGTGGTTCAGTGCATTACTTATTGTTTTCTTTGAAACAATCGTACCTGCTAATTCCAGGTCTATCTGAAGCTCTCCACAAGTGGTCCTTGGCTCTTGGACAACTCTTCTGATAATTCTTTTCACTCCTCTGTCAGAAATCTTGTGAGGAGCACCTGGTCGTGGTCGGTTTATGGTGAAATAATGTTCTTTCCACTTCTGAATTATGGCCCCAACAGTGCTCACTGGAACCTTCAGAAGTTTAGACATTCTTCTGTAACCGATGCCATCATTATGCTTTGCAACAATAAGGTTGTGAAGGTCTTGAGAGAGCTCTTTACTTTTACCCATCATCAGATGGTTCTTGTGTGATACCTGGCCATCAWTTGGGACTGAACCAGCTGATATGAACTTGCACTGACAAGGGGTAGGCTTGCTTTCTAATTACTGAGAGAGTTCAGCTGGTGTCTTGGCTTTCCATGCCTTTTTACACCTCCCTTTCTTCATGTGTTCAATACTTTTTCCCTGTGCCATTCCACGTTATTACAAATAACTTCATTTCTGGACATTTATGGTTTGATTTCTTTGTACTTGGGTTGTTACCGACATCTGGTGAAAATTTCATGTCATTAGCACCTCTAGTAATATATTTACTGAGAAAAATGGTGACGTGTTCAATACTTATTTTACCCACTGTATATGGATCACCTGTGATCAGAAATAGCCGATATCTCCATTTACTCTTTTTAAACAGGCATATTCAGTTTAACCTCTCATCACCTCTATTCAAGTTATGTTACGTATGATGTTTTATTGTTTTTTCTTATTATTATCATTATTATATAAATGACAAATAAGTGCTGAGCAAAAAAAATTAAATCCCTCTTAATTTCTTTATATTTTACTTCCATGGAGCCATACTCTAAAAACTTTTAAAGTGGTCTTAATCCAGTTATTTCTGGGTTTCTGAACGTCTTTTAAAGTTTGTTCAAATTGTGCAATGTGTGCTTACTAATGAAGAATGTGGACAAGTTAGAGGACAAAAGAAGAATTGTCAGGTCTATTAAAACTATCTGCAGAAAATAAACATCATCAGAGAGTCATAAAAGTCCATCACAGACCTGAAACAGGACCTGAGAGAGGTGTCTTCTGTCAGTTGATCATTTACTGTAGGTCAGGTTTTCAGCTGACAGCTCTTTATGAATCACTCTGTTGGTGCTAAAACACTATTTCATGTCAAGCTGTGTTAACTTTAATCATTTTTGGGAACACATTAATCACTGAGACAGGCTCCTGGAAACAAAGCGCATAAAGATCCAGTTTTAAAGACGTCAACACGACGCTCGTTTAACTCTTCAGTTTTGTTGCCTTTTTTATATCACCTTGTGTTAAAATTAAATGGCTTATTTAACAAACAATGTTTCAAAACATGGTTATTTTCTGGACTGAAAATGAGTAAAAAGGCAGTCAAAGTTCAAAGACACACTGATGACGACCACTTTTAAAAAAGTTAAGAAAGTCTGGTGTCCTGGAAGCAACACATACTGGATATATAAAAGGTTAAAGCCTGAACAAAATGTGTGACTCGTTCTGTCGGGGCGAACCTGTGACAGCAGATTGTGAAGCGGCGTCCAGCTCCTCAGAGTTCAGGATCTGCTCTGAGCTGACAGGCAGGTACTGGATCTGACCGTCATGATCTACAGTAATCTGCACACATAATGTTTGACAAGTGGGGTTAAACAAAACTGTCTTACTATGAATAAGCTCACATAATCTAATCCACTTGTAGAAGTTTAGCTTCACTGCGGCACGGTTCAGATCATGTAAATCCACCTCACCTGCTGCTCATGCTCRTACTGGATGATTTGTCCATCAGGCATCTGTGGGACAAAACAAACATTTTCACACTCGCACAATGCATATATCCAGCAATAATATCAACTTCTTATGAAAAAATAAATACAAATGCGTTACCTGAATGTGACTGCCATCAGCAACCACGACATACTCCTGAGGAATCAGGTGCTCCACATCTCCATCCTGGGAGATGATGTACTGGACCTGAAACAACAAACGTCACAAACGCCACGAAGCACCAAAGAGCATCCTTTCTATATTACTCTTTTAATAACTTTGCTTTTCAGCTTGTTTATAGGTATTAAACCGCAGTGTGGACTAATAAATGTGTCTTACTTCAGTTACCTGATTATCCGCTGTCATTAGGTGCTGAACTGTCTGACCATCTAATGTGGTGATCTGCTGGATGTACGAACTGTCCCCCTGATTCGTGCACATAACAGTACATTTATTCATAAAATAAAACTCCAAATTCATAAAATAACTGAGCTGAGATCATAAATTCCCAGTATATGGTTACCTGGTCTGACAGCTCCTGCTCCTGAGTTACAAAAATGTGATCTTGTCCCAGGGTTTGTAGCCTCTCCGGAGTGATCACCGTTTGATGTGTCTGCAAGGCTGATGAACAAAAATCACACAATATGCATATTTTACTATCTGTGGTTCTTGTTCCACACTGAAATCAGTTTTAAATTGCAATACCTGACATTTTTCATGTTCTGTGTTTAAAGTTCAAATGTGTCTTACACTGCAGGGTGGCTAAGGCCTCCTCATCACTGTTGACGATAATGGTTTGCTGAGACATCGTTCGGCCTTTGCGAGCAGGATGATCGTCACTATGAAGACGCTCCATGTGAAACTTCAAGTGGCCGTTGCGGTTAAACCTAAAGGTGTGAACACACACACACAAAATAATAATAATAATAAAAACACCAACGCTGAAAGCTGTTCAGCAAATCTTACTGAATGTTTAAATCCTACAAATAAGCTGCTCAAGTTCCAACCTTTGGCCACAAAGTTCACAAGCGAACGGTTTCTCGTTGGTGTGTGTCATCATGTGTCTGCGCAGGTCCTTCTTGTTCTTTGAGGCGAAGCTGCAGTTTGGACACTTGTGAGGACGCAGGTAAGAGTGCATCCCCATGTGAGCCTGAAGAAAGAGGATGAAAAGGACAGAAACGTCTTAAAAATACGGTGAAATCGCTGCATAAATACATTTATGGGAGAGACTTAAAATCCAAATGGCTAAGATGACGGACACACCTTTACTTCAGGCCAGGAGCTGGAGGTATAATCACAGTCAGGACATTTAAACGTGTTGGGATCCACGTGCGCCCTCTTGTGGTTCTCCATGTCGGAGCGTCCGTTGAAGGCCTCCATGCAGATTCGGCAGGAGAACCTCTTGGTGTTGAGGCTGAGGGAGCTCACTGCAGGAGGAGAGGCTGGAGCTTCACTGCTCAGCTGTCAGAAAATAAACAAATAAACAATCAGACATGAAGAAAAGCATTATTAAATGTATTATTCATTTAACGCACAAATAATAAGTTACCTCCACTTGTTGCAACACACCGTCAGCCAAGGTTGAACTTATATAGTACTTGTCACCTTTCAGGCTCTCTGATCCTGAAACTTCTAAACCCTGCGGAGGACTACTCTCTCCATTACTGCAAAGACAACAGAGTAAAGTGATCAAATTAAATTATTGTCTTAGCATCCAGTTTTCTAATTAGACAAATTGAGATTGTCTGTTCGGTTACCTGTAGCCTGAACTACGACTTTCTCCATCATGCTGCTCTACCACACTGAACTCCCCTCCATCCTCATAAGCTTCAATGGCAAAGTGAGCGATCTCTCCCGTTTCAGTGGTGGTCGCCTCGTAGGCCTCTTGTAGCACCGTTTCTCCATTCTCAGTCACGTGAACTGTCATAATCTTCTGAGCCTCGCCAGGCGCCACAGTCACAGCTGTGAGTGAACCGTTTTCCACAGATTTCCCTTCTGAATTCAGCACAGCTACCTGTAGAAACGGATAAAGGTCGACTCAACGAACCATGAGGGGAAAAGCCAGATAAATGCAGCCGACGTGAGAAAAGGAGGCGTTTTTGATGAACCTGTAAGGAATTTCCAACGAGTTCACGAGCGTTGCTCATATTCAGCAGCAGGTCCAGAGCATTTTGAGCAGACAGATCCCCAGATTCAGCTGAGGGGCACAAAGAGGAGAAAGTCCACATTTGTCTATAAGATCACAAAGCACGCTAGAAGTGTGTGACGAGGCTGGCCATCACACAGCAACAGCATATGCCAACATATGAAAAAAAAAGGAAAAGGTAATGCTGTATGTCACACAAGTTAGGTGTATGTTTTGAATGAGTTACCAGGGTTCCTACAGCTTAAAACAAGTTAAATTTAAGACTTTTTAAGACCTCTTTAATGCCACTTGAAATTTATTTTAAGATCACCTTCACAAAAAAAACTATGGAAAAAAAAACCAAAAAGAAAAGATTAAGATGAGATGAGAAGCATCAGGACAAAACCAAAAATAAAAAAACTTAGCGGCTATTTTACCCAAATGTTTACTTTAACAAGACAAAATTTTCTTAACTTTAACAAAATAATTTACTGAATGCCTCTCAGAGAATTTCAGTAAATTATTTTTAAAAACTAAATAAATGTTACCAATTATTTTTAAATTTGAGATGAATTACAATAATCCTATTTAGCTACAACACATTTTTTAAGACCTCTGAAACACAGATTTAAGACATTTTAAGGCTAATTAAGGCCTTATTTTTGGATCAATGAATTCAAGGACTTTTAATGCTTTTTAAGGATCTGCAGGAACCCTGGTTACCAGCGCATGATCATATGATGMATGAATCACCAAAAATTAGAATGACCTGATTGATTTGGCTGTGCCCTTTTTATACGTGATGTGATGTGATTGTTGCAATATGCTCCATCATGCTCTAGGTACAGTAACAGCGCTGTCATGTTCKTGTAAAAATTCTGTATATGCTAACTTACTTATAAAAACATAGGTTCTATATTTGTTTAACTTGTTAGCGATTGTGTGGGACGTAACAGCACTTCTATCCTTATTGATACTGTATATATTTTAAATGATTAATGATAAAATTACATCAAGGTAAAATGAAAACACTGACCGTATCATCATCCTATTCCCGATGTGGACTGATATCATATCAACCACAGACTTTAAATCAAAATTGTATTGTGACAAACTTTGTGATTTCGAGAAACATTGTATCGTCATCCAAACAAATTAATATAATATCGTATTGTGATAAAGCTGCTGATTTACACCCCTGGTAAGTAAACGCACAAAAGAAGCTTCTAGTTTTTTTTAAATTCCATCTTTAGCGTATGCCAGCTTTTACAACAAAACTTTCATACGTCAGCATGAGTTGTCTAAAATCGTCCCTAACCTTGTTCATAGATGATAGTGGGGTTTCCCAATGCATCCACCGAAGCATTTTCTATGCTCTGCATTGCTTGTATTGTTGCAGAATCCACAGTGACCTGATGAAAGTCAGTGACAAAAAGCAGTTTACAATAAAGTCCAAAGTGTCAAATGATGGAAGGACTTAAAGAGACTCACAATCGTGCTCTGCAAAGCCTGCGTGTCGTCGTGTTGTTGTTGTTTGAGCTCCTCTATCTGCTGCAGGGTGAAGAAGGGTTTTCGCCGCCGTCTCACCGGCTCTACAGGGTTAGCCGCCGACCACTCGTCAAAAATCTCGGGGTGGCGACACTGGACGTGAAGACCCAGGTTCTTCTTGTGCTTGGTCATGAAGTGACACATGCTGCAGGAGAAAGGCTTCTCCCCTGCGGAGTCGCGGCACGACGTCAGGACAAACTCTACGTTCAGAGGATGAGGATTCTAAAATACTTACTGACCTGTGTGTTTGATGGCCAGATGAGAGACGAGAAACTCTTCTTTAGAGGTGGAATATTTACAGTAGTCGCATTTAAAAGGCCTGTCGTTGGTGTGGGACAGTTGATGGTTGAGCAGCAGCTTCTTGTTTTCACAAGTAAAGTCACAAAACTCACACTTGAACCTGGAAAATGTTCATCAACAAGTTAACCGGTGTGATTAAATATTTCATCCTATTTAATCAGACAAAAGTGCAGATTAGTATATGAGAAAGGGAAGCTTTCACTACTGACTTGTTTTCTCCAAGACTCTGGATGTGGGTTAATAAGTGCATTTTGAACGTGTACCGCTTCTTGAAGGATTTACCACACTGCAAAGACAGAAAACTTTTATCTACAAGAGGTTCAAGGGCATTCTCAGCAACAATACGTTACTGTTATTAGAAATTAAACTGTATAAAATTGTTCCCTGACCTTATCACACATGTGGGGTTTCTCTGAGCTGTGGGTTTTCATGTGCTGGGTCAGTCTCTTTTGCATTGGGTACACCTTGTCGCACACAGGGCAGGGGAACTCTGACACCTTAGGAGCCTGCGGGAATCAGACAACAGAAACAACTGACTTCTAGTAAAGTTTATGTTAATGTTGAATGCACGCAAACTGGAGTCAGAAATGTTTTGGTCATCAGTAGTATTAAACTTGCTGTTACTGTCTATCCTTACAAATTATAGCAGTTTTTTTCATGTTGTAGTTGAAGGCGGTTTACAGTTTACAATCATGTAAAAAGCATAACAATTTAAAAAACATAAATATAGCAATCTTACCAACTCCGTTTTTCTTTTCCTGCAAGGTAAAAAATAAAGTCAGACGTAAAATAAACCAACACAATCYTGATGTCTTGTAAATGACTTACTTGTCTTTGTTGTGGACTGTTGAGTGTCGAAGGACATCYTTCTTGTAAACACTTGAGTAATCACATTCTTCACATTTAAATGGCTTTTTGCCCTCATGGTTAAACATGTGTTCCTGTAAAAATCAAATGAAATGAAATAACAGTCTTGATGCGCCGTGGAAAAACACACACGAGCTGAGGTCAAGTTGACCACCAACCTTGAGTGAGGACCAGCGCTTGGAGCGATAGTTACACTGCAGGCACTTGAAGAGCTCCGGGTCGTTGCCTTCGTGAGAGTCCACGTGAAAACGCAAATCGTCTTGAGTGAGGAAGCGAGAACCACAGATCCAGCAGTTGTGAGGTCGCAGGAGAGGTTTGAGGGATTTGTAGTACCGACTGCAAACAAGTAAGCTTTGTGTTGTTAAACCTTTTTATGTAATATAAAATGACAAAAAAATTGTTTGAGGCTTACTTCCGATTCATGTACTTCTTGTATTTTTTGCGTAGGAAGCGCTTGGACGGTCGGCCCCGTTTCCTCGGGAAGAACTCCTCCTCTGGCTGGGAGTTGGACGAAGGGTCTTTGTTCTCAGAGTCTGACTGGCTTATTGCCGCCTCAGCTGTGTCTCCATCAGTCCCTGCTTCAGCTGCGTTTCCTAAACCAGAAGAGCTCGCCTCTTCAGATGCTCCGGCCTCTACGTCAACCCTGGGCTTTTTGGAAACACTTTCTGCTTCTGTGACAAACATTTAAAGATAATTAATAACGCCTCTGCAACTTAAACATTTCAGTGTCAGAACCAAAAACCCACCTTTGCTGCCGTGACCTTCACCTGGAACAGAGTATTTTCTCGGACGGCCAACTTTTCTTCGCGGACGCCCTGGTGAAGAGGAGGAGATGGGAGTAGAAGGTTTCTTGAGAACAGCCGGAGTTCCTTTGCCCTCTTCTTCTACTGGATTGTAGTCGCTGTCCTCTAGAAAACCAACGTGAGAGTCAAACCAGACTTTTATGACTGAATGAATGACAAAAAAACGGTTTAGGTGTTTAGATTTAAATCTGTCTTACTGACCTTCAGGATCATCAATGGCACCAGCGTCCACAACGTCGTCGTCCTCCTCCTCCTCAGCTACCTTCTTCTTCTCGGCCTCCTCTCGCTCTGCTTTTTGACGAGCTAATGTCGTACTTTTTGGAGGCCGTCCACGTTTACGCTTCGTCGGCATTTCTCCTGAAAAATAAAGACCACACTGTTACCATAAGTCAGATCAGTGACACAGATTTCATCACTGAGTCAAGACAACAAACTTACTGGCCATTTTAAAGTGTTTCTCTCTCATGTGTTTGATAAGTGTGTCTTTGGAGGCGCTCTTGTACGGACACATCCTGCACTTAAACTGCTGAATGATCACCACCTCCATCATCTCCTCTAACTCAGCCAGGTTAGGGTGGTGGTCTCCGGAGCCCTCTGCCACGGCTGATGCTTCCTCGTCTCTGGAAAGGCCAGCTTCATCCTGAGAACCTCGGGGCTCCCCTCGGCAGGGCGAGCTCTGTTGGGGTGGTTCTGGCTCCGGGTTCGAGGCGTACGTGCCACTGCTGCTGATGTAGATGCCAGGTTGGCTCTCGCTGCATTCCAGGGCTTCGGGAAGTCTGACGGAACCAGCCGTGTCCGCCAGCGGGTGGTCGGATGARGAGCTGTCATCGGGATACAGAGACCCCTCGGGCCCGTTGCTGTTCTCTGTGTAACAGGAGTGCTGCGGCTGCTGCTGAGAATGCTGTGGCTGATCTGGATCCTGGTTCTGTTCATCCTCGTCGTCGTCGTCATCTCTTGCTTGGTACTGAGAACAGCCCGGCTGCTCAGAGTCTGCGGCTGCAACACATTCTGCCCCGTACTCGGCTCCATACTGCCGGCTGGTCTGAGTCCGGTGGTCTGCACTGCTGTCGATGTAGCYGCGTGAATGATGGGACCGCTGCCTCTCATCCGCTGCGCACTCCAGGTACCCAGAGCTGCAYGCCACCACGCAGTGACTCCGGCCGGTGGCGTCCGAGTCAGCACCGCGGCACTCCACGTAGCCAGGCAGGTCCTGGTCACTGTTGTTCCCGCTGTAGTCGGGAAAGCCCGGCTGCGAGCGGGTCTGGTCGGGTTCCTCACCTGAACACTCCAAATAGGAAGAGGAAGACTCCTCTGTTTGGTCTGGGCCATCTGCGCTGCAGTCCATGTACTGGGAGGGGTGGGAGTGCTGGGGTTGGTCAGGCTGACTACTGCTGTCCTCCGGGTAACCCGAGTGTCCTGGTTGATCGTCAGGCTGGTCTGGTTCCAGGCCGCCCTGCAGGTCTCCCTGGTCCAGACACGTGGACGTGGGACCTTCAGTGAGAGCTTCCACAGCAACACGGTTGGACAGGGCAGACGATGACATCTGCGCAACCATGGGAGCCCCTGCACCAGACAAACATTTCATTCCAAAGAATTAACTGCAGAAGTCTAAGCAATCACTTAGACAACTAAAATTAAAACGATTCTTTGTGAATTTACATGACATGTAAACACAAAAACTGTTTATTTTGTAAATATGTGCTGCATTATAGTGATCTTACCGTCATCTGGTCCTTGTAAAATCAGATACTGGGTAGTTTCTGCCCCTCCGTCCTCTGCACTTGTCACAGCTATGCAACCTTAACAAAACCACAGAAAACATCAAAAATCTGATTTACAAAATAAATCAACCTCACAGATGCTCACTGCCTGTGTGAGAAACTGGAATCTAATTCAAATTAAACTTACCATTCATGATATCGGGACCGATGGTGGACTCTATGATCTTGTCGATGGCAGAGCCCAGATCTGATGAGGTAGAGGCAGTGGAGTCCGAAACCATCATAGCTCCTTCAGACACGGCGCTGGAGTGAACCAGAACCTGGGCTGATTCTGACACCAGCACTGATTGAGTCACTGTGGAGACACTGGACACGCTGGTAGACTGAGCCACAGAGGAGGAGTCAGGAAGATGGACTGAAGAAACTCTGACATCTGTGCTAGAGCTGGTTTCTGGAATGAACACCTGAACAGGACGAAATAACTTAATATTTTTAATGTTACTGTTAAATTTCGGTTTCCTCCCACAGGATTATGGATGTTTAAAAAAACCTTACCACAAGTCCTTCTGAGCTCTGTCCCACATGACAGTCTGACTCTGGGGCCTGTGGATGAGAGGCAGCAGCATCACTGCTGTCTGCCGACATAGCCTCCGATGACTCCATCCCCATGCCGCTTTCAGACGGCTCCTCCATCCCTGATGGGCCAGCATCACTGCTGCTCTCCACCTCATTCTCCTCTGAATCCATACCTAAATAAATGCATTAAAACATAATTTTATCTTTAAAACAAGTTTCAAGTATTAATGCAGGTTCCTCAGTATTTCCATCGGACAGTTATTTGTCAGTGATGTATGTTTACATGAGTTAAAATGCTTTGCCGATGTTGAGGATTTGTCAGAAATAAAGCTGTGAAAACATTCTAGGTTTAACAAGTTGGTGTGGCTTCATGTTCTTATACAGGTACTTTGCTACTTAAAGGTTGTAACACACATCAGTGTTTATGGTAGGGTTTTATTCAATATTTTTTCCTGCAAGAAGTTCTTCTTTATTGGAAAGTGATTTGGAGGTATATTTTTGCTTTGCAAAACTCTCCTATATGAAATTAGACATTTACTGGGCAAAATAAAAGGCTGTATGTTACAGTGAATGGTTGGAGAAAGATAACACCTGGTCAGTGATATATTTAAGATACAGAGAATCGTGAAGCATTTACCTTGACCATAACGTAAAACTGTATTTTAGTAATATTCAACTAATCCAACATCTTTTAATAATTTGATGTCTTATAGAGTAATTCATTTTGCACACAGATAATCCTATTTATGTATGTATTTATTATTTACAAGATGCCTTACACATACAAGTGTTTTTGCCATTAAATAAGTCTGCTTAAAGAGTTTCCTTAAATTGCCAGAATAAGTGGTCAATACTACTTTATGTTTGGGTTTATATACTACCAAATGTTTGGGGTTCTTTCCAAAACTATTAGAAAATTCAGTCAGCCACTGAGTGAGTGTAGGTTTTTATTCATATACAAGTTGTCACTCAGGTGGTAGTCTTAAAACTGCACAAGATAATTTTTGGAAGTGCATTGACATAAAATAAAATGACTTTTAATGAACGTGGTTTGTTCTGCGTTTCGTCCACGTTTCAGGGAAATCTCAGGAAACGACATTTGTTTTGGACATGAGTTGTTTAGAAACATCGTCGCAGACGATAGAGAAGCTAACTGTTAGCTTTGTTTTGGTTAAGTAGCTTTTTGCTTTGCTTTCGATGAGAATATAGACGTAAACTTTCTTCATTTCCGAAATAACAATTTGTGGTTATATAATCCTAGACAACAGTAATCCGAACTGGGATCGGCTGATCTAAAAAAATAAGGTTTATTCATCAGAGAGCCGGACGCTGAGCCGTTCCGAAACAGGCCTAGCTGCCCTTTATCCTGCCTGCTTCGCTTAGTCATTCTGTACCAGTGAAGCCTCTTTTCCACTCAGGCATTCTGTAAGCTCTACTGGCCTGGGGACCTTGTGGGCCTCGGCGGCGAAAGAATGTCCAAATTCGCTCCCTGAAGAAAATGAAAATAATTTCTGTTTCCGACACTAGATTCCCGGCTCTTTTTTCTTACCGTGCAGTTTAAAGGAGTGTAGTATCCTTTAGCGTAGAGGAGACGAAAAGGAAACAAAAAAGGAACCGATAATTGTTGGTTCTTTCTAGTCGGGCGCCATGAGTCTCTCCTCGCTTCCTGTCCGATAGACCTGATCTTTATTTATTGTTTTTGTTTGAAACAGCGCTGCTTGTTAACTCAACGTTACATTTGTTTGTCGGTTTTTAATATTTATTCACCTTATTTTGCTACACGTAATTATTTTCTAACGTTATATTTGATGGACTATTGTTTTTAGAGGAGGACATTTTACTCAACGTGGTGCGGAGTAATATGCTGCAAGAGATTAATACAAAACGAGCCTTGGGATCTTTTTATTTTTTATTTTTTGTAATATAAATTCAAGTGTACAATCGTTTAGGGATTTAACAACAATAAACAGGTGAAATAACATTTTCAAGGCACAAGATAGAACAGAGCAAACAATAGAAATAAACAAAATAAAAAAAAAATCAAACACATTCACACAGTTGTACAACTACAACCAGAAGTCTTCAAATATTTTCAAATCCATTCCATAGAGACTTTGCATTCTTACATTTCATTTGTTTTAAAGCAATTACATAATTTCCAACAAGATGTTTTTTAAGTACATTAAATATAGGCTTTACCTTTTTCCATTTGCAGCAATGAATGAAATATTTTGACATCAGTAATAAATTGTTTAAAACATAGTCTGATTGTGCATCCTTCAAGTTCAAACCAAATATTATGTTGTCCAGAGTAAGTGTGTCCTGTAGCTGGGTCTTTGTAGAAAGCCAGTCCAGAAAATCCTCCCAGAAAGTTTTTGTGTAAGTACATCGATAAAAAATGATGATCCGTCGTTTCCATGYTGGATTCACAAAAAATACAGTTGTTATGGTCAATATAATAAGCCTTGGGATCTATCTACTCCTAAAACAATTTTTTTTCCCTGGCTTTGTTTTAACTTTCAGGTATTTGCCAAAAGTAACGTTTTTTGTTTTTAAACTCTAAATTTTCTGTACGTTTTTATTAATAACTTTGGAAATGTTTTCTTTTGGACTCCAGAAAAATAAAGAAGCAGAAATCAATCCTTGTGGTTATTTTGTTAAAATTACACTAACAGAAGTGCCTTTTTCCCCCTAAAAACAAAAATAACCTATCTTTTCATTAAAGTGGTCAAACAAATACTACATACRATCCAATCAAAAACCAAACTACATGAACTCAAGTTAATGTAGTTTCAAGTAAACTCATGTTTTTAATTATTGTTTTATTTACACATTGTAGTGTTGTGAAATACATCACAAAGAGGAACAATTCAAAAACTGTTAGTTTTAAAACAGGAAATTATCTTCTTGTGTTACAACTTCATCTGGTCCTTGATGTAATTATTCTGTTACTTAACTCCACAGAAATAGTTAATAGTTATTAAAAAATGCACTTTCTTTTATCCTGCCTTATTCTAGTATAGCATTACCCATTCAGGAATAGTAAAAAAACAGGAAAAAGCTAAATTCATAACAATTAGAGCAGCTTAATTGTTTGGAAGTATAAACCTTGTTACTAACTGAAGCTKTACTCAGTTTCTGTAAGAATGGGCTCAAACTGGAATAATTTAACATTTTATTCCACCTCATGTTTTCTGCAAAAAAGAGCCTGAAAATCAGTGTTGTATAACTGAAAAATACATAAAAATTACAATTTCCTAACATAATGACACTATTGGCTGGATGTAATCATAATTTTGTTCATTTATATATTTTGTATTAAGCAGCAATCAGTGTTGTATAAAGTACCTCAAAGTGATACTTGAGTAAAAGTACAAGTATCTTATCATGAAATCTGATTTTTTTTGTACTTAAGTATCAAAAATAAATTTCTGACATAAAATGTACTTAAGTATTAAAAGTAAAAGTAATGAGTAAAAATGAATGAGAGGTTTTCGAAAATAACATTTTTTGGGAGGTGAACTTTCAAAAAACTTTCTAAAGGCATGCAGCTGTTAAGGATTGTGTACAATTTGGTGTCAGAAGGGAATATATTTATACTTCTCATCCTATCACACTATYCAGGAGGCACAATTTATTAGGATTTAATAATGAGCCAAAATGAAACAGGAGTAATGACTTTCTACTTCTTATCTTGTTTAAAAATGTAGGAAGTAGAAAGTACAGATAATTATGTGAAAATGTAAGGAATAGAAGTAAAATGTAGGATGAAAAAAATTATTCAATAAAGTACAGATACCCAAAATTTCTACTTAAGTACAGTAACAGTTAGTTACTTTACAACTCTGGCAGCAAGAAAATGTGTTAAAACATAATTATTTTTAACAACTTAAATTACTTTGATTAGTCAATTTTGTAAAAGTTTGTTAGTTTTTAATTTGTTTTAAGGTTCATGTGAGCCCTAAACAAATGACTATTTAGTTTAGCTCTATTCAATAAGGAAAATATTGCTTTATCAAATATATGTCAACAGCACAACAATAAATCTGCATGATTTAAAAATAAAATGTCTCCATTGTATTTTATAAAACTTGCATCTTTTCACATATCGACAGTGTTGTATAAAATACCACAAATGGATACTTGAGTAAAAGTACAAGTATTGTACAAAAAAATACTTTGGTAAAAGTTAAAGTCTCCGTTAGGAATATTACTTGAGTAAAAGTCAAAGTATCTGATGTTTTTTGTACTTAAATATTAAAAGTAAAAGTATTGATTCAAAATGAGCAGTTAGATTTTTTATAAGGACAATTATTAGGAGGTGACCTCCAAATAATGTCGAAATGACTGTCGTATTAAAATAACTAAATTATGTTAAATTTAGGATGCAGTCTAGCTGTTTCAGTTTATATACATATATTAAGGCTGCACAAACATTTTCCCAAAAATTGAAAATCAATCTGAGGGCTGCGGCCAAATGCAGTAATAAGCTTAAGCTGCAATAAGAAGCTTGATAATTACATTTTTTCTAAATCTTGGAACAAAATTTCATTAGCTAAAATTATTCCTCCTAAACTCTCCACATGTTTTACCTAYATGCTGTTATGTTTTGCTACAAACCCTGTCTCCAAACAGCCATAATAATTTAGACAACTCTGGAGAACTGAGAGAGAATGACAAGCTTCATGTTTCTGCATGAAGCCAGCTGTGTTTGGAAGAATGATTACATTCTGTCCTTGTGCTTTAATGACATTTATCATTTCTGTTTGAAACCCTCCCGTGGCCTTGAATGTAGAAAATAAACATTTTCATTAACATTGCAATATGGATTTCTGTTCAGGTAATTAGTTCCAAGCACAGCTGGATTGGACCTGGGAGTTTCAGTCYATCAAGACAGAAATGAACCATCTGTTGGTGAGTTATGAGCTCTGTATCACACACTTCACCGAAAGAAGACTCACTTGTAACTGGAGCACAACATACATGATGACTAATGTTGACTAAAACATAAAATAATTAATTACTAACATGCTCAATTACACGTCTAARTTGACAGTTTGGTGCTTTGTTTACATTCTGCATTTCAGAAATTCAAATCAGTATGTCGGGAAAACTGCTGGAATTGTTTTAGTTCAAGAAAACCTTTATATGGTTTATTTCAAATTTTGCATTACATACCTTTGATGTGAATGTGTGTTTGATTTTACTACATTTACTTGTGCAGTTTTTTTTTTTAAATTTTCATTCGCTTTAATTTATGAAAAACAAAAAATAATCTTTTTTTTAGTTCTGGTAAATGACTGAGTCTGCTGACAGAGGATGTTGTTCTCACAAAATATTTTATTGCATCGAAAGTTAAAACTTTATTACAAAAAGTTTATGCTTCATAAATAATTTCAGAGAAGGAGACATGGATTGTCTTCCAATGCAAGGATTTAGCTGTGAGGCCATTTTTAGAAAGGCACATATAATCACACAAAACAATTAAGCCCCAGACACAAAAAATAATATTAACTTAAGATTTTGCTATAAATACCAAAATATTTCAATACTGTCTAGAGTCTGAACCTGTCAGACAGAGAATTTAATCTGCAAATCTGGACACTGATCCAGACTGCRTGTGTTTAAGTTATAGTTGTGGGTCTTAAATTTAAGGTCCCCACRGTCATCAGTTCACAAATTATCAGGGCTGAGCAGTGTAAAAAAAAAGGTGCGTTTGCTTTCCAGTTCTGGACCTTTGACTTACATGTAGGTCAATACTGAATAATTATAATTAGCCCACTTCAAAGGCCAATTATTCACATTCCAGAAAGCACAGACATCGTACAACAGGCACGATATGCAGACACTGCATTCACTTTCTCCCACGCGCAGAGAGAAGTGGCTGCCACAACATCGCAGACAGATTCCAGCTCGTCTGTGCAAACGRCTCAGTAGTGAATGCCTGAGCTCTCTGGGCATCTCAGCAGGTCGTATTTCACGTAGCCAACGCGGTCCACCTGCCGCCGGGCGTTCATCCTCCAGTAGAAACGATCTCTGCAGAAGTACATGTGACCTGGAAGACAAACGTTGACWATTAAGTCATCGAGTGCAAAAGGTGACGGTTCTCTGGCTACTATTTTCATAATATTGGATTAAGTTTTTGTCAATCTAACAGCTGCATAATTTGTGTTATTTTAATCATTCATACATCAAAATGTTAGGCTCATACAGAAGATGTTTTGATTTTTGTACATTACAAAATATAAAACTTATTTGAATAGTAAAATTACTTATTATTGTGATTATTTACAAATTTCTCCATAGAAATGTTAAAATATCTTCAATTTTTCATATTGACTTTTTAAAATTTGCTTCAACAGACTTGTTTTATGGTCTTGTCTTGTATTGCTACTTTTAGTTAATAGCTTTAGTTTGGCTACTTTTAGCCTTAAGCTAGATTCTTGCTATTTTTAGCTAGCATTTTTTGTCTTTTAGCTACTGTATTACTTAATTTAGCTTTTCTGTAGTTACCGTATGTCTGTATTTACCTTTGTACTGGAAAACATCATGAGCATCATTGGGGATGCCACCAAACACAGCATCAGTATATTTGGGATAGCCCTGATCAATCTTTTGAGTCTTGACATCCAACCTGCATGGGCCAGACATAAAATCAGTTCCGTAAAGATAAAATGTGTTATTTATTGTTATTTTTTTAAACAAACTGTGACTTGAGGCTTTTGTTTGCCCAGTGAAGAGTTAGGTCTGCTCACCTCCAGAAGTTTTCTCCGCTGAAGAGCAGAACTTTGCCCTTCCCCCTCTGCAGCGCTCCCTCAACTTTCTGAACGTTGCTGGGCAGACCCAGTTTCTCAATGCTGCGGGGACCCAGGACACTTTTCCCTGTGTAMACCCAGAATCTGGTTCCTGTAAAAACAAAACAGTAACAATCATTAATACTTTCTGACAACTTTGTTCAGTGTTCGAAAAGCATGACCCCTTTTTTTTACCTGAGAAGAAGTATATTTTCTTGGTCAGAACATCCTCAAAGGCAGAGTCAATGACAGCTGGCAGAGCTGGCCATCTCTCAGAGATAGACAGAGGTCCCTTGCGTCCTGCATCGCCACGACTGGGCACATTCCAGAAATGTCTGTCGATCGACACGTATAATGAGCACATCAGCATGGTTTTATTTCCTTCATAATAAAACAAGGAATGCACAGAAGAATGAATCATTTGCTCACCCATCTTTGAAGAAAYGTAGCTCTCCCTCTATCACAGTGATGGTGTCAAATTTGAGCATCTTGCAGGCATCTTTGGTGGGATCCACGGTRGATGGGCTGGTGGGGAGGGTCTCATCGGTGGGTTCAGGTTCATCTGTGGGGTCGGTCWCATCCGGGTCTGGGTAAGTAGTGGTGCTAGGGGTGTCGGGCTCAGGTTCAGTGGGGTTAGGGCCTGTTTTACTTCCTGGAAGATAAATGCAGGGGAAAAAATGAGTGAAAATGTATTGTTTGATGGGGCTTAGAATGAAAAAGCACTCATGACCTCACCATAGAGAAACTGGATGCCTTCTATGTCATCTCGGTGCAGAGGGGATTCTTCTTTGTAGATGTACATGGGATACATGAGAGCTTCTCTGATGCTGGAGTGATCCAAGCCGAGGGCGTGGCCAAACTCGTGGGCTGCCACCAGAAACAGACTGTAACCTGGAACATTGCAGGTAAAACATTGTTAATGGTTAAAAAAAAAAAAGCAAATTATATCATTCTGTGTTCATCTCAGATTTTTGCTCCTCACCCTCGTCAGGACAAAACCCCCATTTTTTGTCTCCATCATAGTTGCCAGTAGTACTGCACCACAGCTTGCCATCTCCTCTCCCCTCACTTGTACATGAGTTGTACTCCGTTCCCAGAAACACAAAAGGAAAGTGGCAGGGCTCWCCCTCAGAATTCCCTCCAATTACAGCTGTGTCTGCAAACGGAGACATAACACCAGCAGTTAATTAAAGAAACGAGCCATTGTGGCGGGTCATAGCAAATGTTTATGTGCATTGTGTTTTATTATGGCTCACCACGGCTGGGACAGAATCCATATTTCTTGTCCGTGTCAAAGTTGGCTGTGGTGGCACACCACCGGTAGCGGTCGTTGCGGCCGTCTGTGGTGCAGCTGTCATACTTTGTCCCCTGGAATGTGAAGGGGAAAACACACGCAGCTCCATCTGCGTTCCCTCCGAATGTGTACAGAACTGTCAGGAGGACAATCAAAAACAGGGGATGAGTTCCAATTTTGTCCCATTAGCTACAAAATTGMTGTGGTGTGGAATTAAAAGTAAGRCTTACGTTCACTCGGGCAGAAGCCAAATTTCTTGTCTTTGTCGTAATTAGATGTGGTTGAGCACCAGGGCAGGTTGTCTGTACGGCCCTCGGTGGTGCAGGAGGTGTAGGATCGGCCCTCAAAGGTGAAGGGGAATTGACACATGGCGCCTTCAGCGTTTCCATAAATGGTCTTCACAGCTGATGAGACATGGAGGATTTAGCATTTTTGAGGAAATCTCTGCAGTGAACACTAGAGGGAATCGACAGAGTTTGATTTTTACATGTAAGATTACCTGGTCCTTTTCCCAGAGTCCAGAACTCATCATCGTCAAAGTGGGCATCTCCCTGTATCCCCTCACCAGGAGGATAGGCGTGAGCCAGAAGGCCATCTTTACCATCAAATGGGTATAGATCCCCGTGTTCTAAACAGAACATTCATTCACTCATCATCAGAGTCTGTATAAACAGTCAAAATACATCTGAATGATGCTGATTTGTAAGATAAACTGTCTCCCAAGCACTTACCAGCTTTTCCAAATGATATCATGATGTCAGCTGTGCTGTCAAAGAGGCGTGTGAAAGTCAGAGGGGTCACGTCGCTCCACACCTTGAAGGCTCTTGCAAAGGCGTCGTCAATCAGAGAGCTTTCCATGTCTGGAGAGTAGTTCATGATCCTGAGGAGAACAGAATAATTATGTGTAACAAGGATTTCCAATTGAGCCAGTCTTTTATTRTTATCAGCTGTAATGATTTTTCTCTCCACTTACCTATAAGTAATATCATTATGGTCCCATTTGAGGTCCYCATCGAAGGTTTTGTAGTTGGCAACATCAGGAACGCCACAACGAGGTTTTTTCATGGCGTCCAGTGTCTTCTTATCTAGCTGTCCGGTCTCCTCCAGGCCTAGCTGTCTCTGCATCCTCTTCAGGGCCTTGTCTGTGGACGTCATGGACTGAAAGCCACTGCGCTGGACCGTGTTCATGTAGCCGAACTTCTTTAGATAACTCTGGAGAATACAACAAAGCATGTCAGTGTGGAAACAATTCCATCCTGTCCTTTTTAAAAACTTTTTCCTTCAACACCTTCTGTGGCTTTGCGTCAGAAAGTATATGTCTTTATTAACACCATGACATAAATCTTTGTTAAAATAATGAGTTTTCTGTGCAGCTTTATTGCGTGTCATTCGGGGAGCCTGGAACCACTGAGACAAAACGAGACATCTGCTACTTACCTCTGCCAGCTCCATATCAGTCATGTTTCTGATGATGTCTCCTGGGAAGGTGACAAAGACCGACTTCAGGGGAACGCTCCATCCGTTCTGCACGCTTATCCCCAACAGCAAACACACAACTAAAGTGCAGCATCTCATGATGAAACCTWTAGTCGACTAACAAAAAGGTTAAAAAAAAGGTTTGCAAAACCTTACAAAAGGAAAAATTGAAAGATTCTTTGAAGATCAGCAAGATTTATCTTCTCCGGTGATGCTTCTTTTTTGTGAATGGTGGCTCTTGGAATGGTCTCTGTGTTGTGTTTCTGGCTGGGGTTGTATTTAAGCGGAGTGGAGTCTTAGTCACCCAACCTTGTTCCCGCCTGCAGTAACCTCAGTCCTCCTACTCACAGCTTGACAGGCATGATGGGTGAATAAACACTGGGACTTTCCAAAACATTTACGTACAATTTCACCTAAAGCACTATTAGTTAACTCCTAGGGATTTTTTTTATTTATTTCATTTTTGTTAGCTGGATAAGCATCTGTGGGAAAAGCAAAAGGTGTTTCAATAAAACCATTCAGCAAATGATTATGCTTGCTTGATTTACTAGAAATCACATAAACGAAGCTGCAAAATGTTCCCAAAATTTTTAAAATCCTTGTTCATTTCACCTAAAATTGTATAAAACATCTTAGAATTTGATAAAGGTTGTGCAACTTATTTCATAACATRAAGGTCTAGACTAAGAGCATCTTATGTTGAGAAATGACCAAGTTGTAGTCATCTACGTCAAGCCTTAAAAACAATGTTATACACAATCTCATGTGATATTGTGAAACATCACGCTCAGAGTCTGTGCTGTGAAGAACTCTCAACTACTAACATACTACATTAAAGATACCTTTCTGTAAAACTGACTGATTTGTATTCTTTTTCGTGTTGGGCATAGTTGATTTGCTGTTTGTGTTGACTCCAAAAGTCCTAACTTTTAATAATTACTTTTACTTTCTGAAAAAAATCTAAGCTCTTTCAGTGGCTCTTTTTGGTAACAGACCACCAGGTTTATCTCCCAACAGATAATGCTAAAAATTTCAGCAAAAATCTCAGCTACTACCACATAAAATTTTAGCTTAATATAAGTAAAACTGACTGGATTATACTACTTTTTGTGTTTTCTAAGGTGAGCTGTTTGTGGTAGCTATCATGAATAGGGTTAGCTCCAAAATGTAACCAGCTGGAGAAGTGCATCTATTAATTCTTTACTGAAAGGTTAATTGAAATCCGTCCAGTGGTTCATGAGATATTTTGCTAACAGACAGATAGGCTTGATTCTAAACACTTGAAGGCCAAATTTTAAATTAAGATCTTCCAAAATCTGTTATTGCTTGATGTATRTGTTGGGGATGAGTCTATTCTACTACCACACTAAAATTTAGGTCAGTATTAGTAAAACTGGGTATAAATATTGTATTTTTGTGCATTTAGTCAGTCAGTTGTGGCAGTCGTCTAGAATGTGGTTGATTCTAAAAAATAATTACAGATGKACATCCAGTTTTTRCTTTCTGCAAGTTTATTAAAATGTGTTGAGTTGTYCATGAKATATTTTGCTAACAGGCAGACTCACACACACGTGCTTAGACAAAACCATYATCATCCACCTTTTGCCAGTGGGTAATAATCTCAGATGAGATGTTCATTGTGATTTTGCTGTCATATTTAATTTTAAGGAAACGGCGCATACATTCACATGTTTTTTTCATTCTGAAGCACATTTCTCATGTGATCGAGCCAGACAGTGTTGATGTATATTTAACAAAAAGTTTTGTTCTACCCTTTTTTTGTCCAAAAATAGAAATTTCCTTCCCGTTTTGTTCAAAACTGTTCCCCAAAGGAAACACTAAAGTAGGTCAACCTTAAAAGTAGAGTAAAAAAACAGTGAATTCTGTTATTGTACTCATTGTGATAATAAGCATCTCACTTGTGTTTGTATTTCTCTGTGATAAATCACAATAGTAATGAGGAAAATTCTTGTCTCACAGTATTGCTGCTTGTACGAACAAATCTTGGGAACTACCTGCGCCGTCGTCACAATATTTGATGATGCAACGTCTCCTTTAGCTCCATTATGAAATAACATGTTTCAATAACGATTTTTATGTCTCATTTTATAACAGACGTACTGATTGTATTGTTCTGCTTTCAAAGAGCATTTCTGTTTCATAACAATAAAAAGAGAACTCAACTACCTCTTATTAAAAAGAACATTGTGTGTGTCAATTTGCAATGTGCCGGATTCTATGAGATAAATGTAGATTTTTGGGTGGGAAATGTAGGAATCATGGCCAGATGTTTCTCAGATGTCATGTCACAACCCGCTCTGATCCCACATGGATGAGCAAAGTTGTTGATGAGGGACTTTTATTTTAAATGAACTCAAAGTTTTTCTTTCAGTAAAAACATGTTTTTTTAACTTGTTCTGCACTTTCTAAATGCAGGGAAAAAACAAACTAGATTGAGTCAACGACTTCCATGTAAAAAAGAAAGAAACATATTGTGATAGTTTGTGTTTGATCAGAATTTAGTTATTTTGTGGAAAACAGTTTGAATGTCGAGTACTGAATGACTGCTGAGACTGCTGGTAAAGGTATAAGGAAGCAGAAAACTAGCTAAAAGAAGCTAAATCTGTTAAAAAAACAAAAGTAGAATAGCTGAAGTTATAAACCAAAAGTAAAAAAAATAGATGTAACAAAATACTAGACAAAAGGAACAAGATAAAAGAAGCAAAGGTAGCTAAAGAAATCAAAACGCTTGCTTATAGCTAAAAGTAGCAAATGCCTTGCTAAAAATAAAATACTAGCTAAAAGACAAAACATATTATTGCTAAAGTAAAAAATAATAGAAAAATACACAAAAATACATTTAGACTATTAAACGTGTCTACAAAACTCTTTTGTAATGTTGAGATAAAATAATTTAATTCAGGCTGTAAAGCATTAACAGCAGCCTCTGACTGTTTCCTGTTACCATATATGGAAGTCTGGTACCTTTCAGTGAAGAGGAGGTGTGCAGTTACGTACTGTAGCTATATAATTTATTGAGGAAGGTGTGGTTGATGTGTCAAACACTTTGACACACGTACAACCACACACACGCACACACAACCTTCCAAGTTACAGAAGACAATTCAGAAATATTACATCATCCATTACATGGGAAAATACCACGAAATGAGTAGTTTGCAGCAACAGATTTCATTCATAAATTAATTAGTTTGTGTGCTTTATAATATAATTTTATTTATTTGTTCCCAGTAATAAAAAGCAATCCTGGTGGKAAAAATTGGCTAAAATATAAATGATGCTTGTAGAGCAGTACTAATTGTTTTATATTCTGTCTGTTCTAAAATCATACTTGTTAAGTTTCTGTTTTGCTGTTTAAAACATGTCATCATCATTGCTTTTGTATAATAATTTTGGTCATTTTCTTTCTATTTTAGCATAAGTCATCCGAAAATAACATTTTTATGCAGCTTTTGTTCATTTGTTGCTCTTTTTTTTTGTCATTCAGATTCAAATCTGAGGGTCATTTCTGTTTATGTGTGGTTCCTTAGAACGTTCTTCTTCTCAGCTCTCCTTTGAAAACATCTGCCAATGATTTCTCATGGCGTCAAAGATTTAATGAACACGGCTCCGTGGACTTTTTATGAATGCCACATTTCATTTAGGTTTGCCACTTTGCTTCCAAACCGAACTCTGGCACCGACCCTTAAAAAATATACTTTTTTCTTGGACGGCATTCCTACCAAAAATTCCCTCGATTGCAGCACAGACCTGCTGGCACACAAAAACACATCCACATGAGATGGCAAACTGCGTCATGGGAGAGCTGGAAAATATCAGAGGTGAGGATTGAAACCCTATCCTCTCATGTGGCTTTTTTTTTTTTATATTACGGTGGCTGTTTTTAGGACAAAAGCATTAAATGCTRAGCAATGTACAACCTAAAAAGTGACAAAAATGTTACAGGGTTTGCCACTGCGAAGCATTCTTTATCTTTAATCTTTAACAAGACTGTAAACATCCAAGAACTAATGAAACCAACTGCTGGAAGTTTTCGAGGGTTTTATGTCTAATTCTTGTCTGATGTACAGTAGGTATCTAACTGTTCACCAGTCTTGGATTTTTTTTTTATCCCATGATGCATTAAATGTGTTCAGATGGTAGAAGGACTGCACTGCAGGCAGGCAGCATCCGGACTCTTCTGCTCTGAAGCAAGGCTGTTGTAACAGATCCAGTATGTGGTTTATCATTGTCTTCTTSAAATATGCAAGGCCTTCTCTGAAAAAAAAAAAGAAGTCTGGATCATGGCATTCAATATGTTGTGTTAAAACCTGTATACACTAATGTGTCATTTCAGATGCTAGAGGCACTAATGCACCCCCATACCATCAGAGAGGCAGGCTTTTTGGACTGTTCACTGATAACAGGTTAGTTGGTCCCTCTCCTTTKTAGTATAAAGGTCACAGTGTTTTTGGTTTCCAAACAGATTTTATTTTTTTATTAATGTGACTACAAAACAGTTTTTCTCATCGCCTCAGTTCATTTTAAATGAGCATTGGTACAGTGAAGACAACAGTGTTTCTGTTTCAGTCCTCCAGTAGTTTCTTATTTATACCACTTATTTTTACAGCCTTGTGTTGCTGCCATATAATTCAAAATTATTTTTAAGCACAATGTTTTACTTTACACATTTGTTCATCATATTATATTGGAAATAAAATGTGGGTTTATTGGATATGCAAATCATTGCATTTATTATATATATTTTTCATTCTAACAACACCCCAACATTTTTGAAAGTGGGTTTTTTTCCCTTAAACTGCAGACAATTTAAAAATATACCAGACTATTTTAAAAACAAGGTTTGCAAAGCATGTTTTAGGTGTTGACATTTTAAGGTCAATAGCTGCTCAGGCAGACAGCTCGGTTTATCCACAGAACCTTATAGTGAAGTATTTCACAAGAGCGCCGCTCCTATAACACTCAAACAGCCCAGATTCTGTGTTTACTTTTTAAGTTAAGTGTCTGCTTACAAAGAAGGCTCGGTTTATGTGTGGAACCTCAAAATTCTACAAAAACTCAGCTCATATAAGGCTCCAATTTTCCATTTAGGCAGCCTGGATTGAGGGTTTACAGCTCAGTGTTGTATAATAAGTTTGCTGTCTCAGTTGTGACATGCCCTGTTTAGATTCAGCTTATTAAACAGGCTTTTTTTTAATCTTACATTATGTTTTTAGCAGGATGTCATAAATGCAAAAGACACTCCACGTCTGCTGCCGTTGATGTGGTCCTTGGCCGGCTTCATCTTTCAGCTGCGTTGTGTTTTACGATGGCTGCTTTGTTGACTTTGTGGCCAAACTCTGAGACTGTCAACACGCACCCGGCCGGCTTGATGTGGAGGAGGAGATGTTATTCAATCACCACTGCAGGTACTTTACGGAGCACTCACTGCTGACTCTGCCGTGTCCGGGAGTTATTCTGGGAAGAGTTTTGTTTTTCTAACCCAGTTT